GGGCGTCCGTAACGGCGGGTGTTTGGGAGGATGGTTGTTGGCTCCGGGTCAACCCAAACCTGTCCCGGTAGAGCCCTGGAACACGGGCAGCCCGTCCCTCTGCCAGCGCGGCCCGTGGGCTCCTTCCTTCCCACGCGTGAGCTAGTCTCAGGGTTAAGCCCAGCACTAGACCCGGCTCCCCTCGGCACTCAACTCTCAGTAAAATTCTTTCCAAGAATGATGTCAACGGAAAGCGCCAACAGTTTCACGCTGATCGGAGAGGCGTCAGATGGCGGCACAATGGAAAACCTCAGCCGGAGGCTGAAGGCAAGTTCTGCGGAGCTGGTAAACTCAGGTAGTTTTGGACGGAGCATCCGTTTTTCCAGCTGCTCTGCAAGGTTTCCCGCAGCACTGGCCTTCCGGTGTCTTTGCTGGCGAGCAGCTCAGTAAAGCTGGTTTGCTCTAAACCAAGACCTGACCTGCGAAAGTGACTGTGTCAATTGAAGAAGCTCAAGCCTGTCTGTGAAAACCAGCCGGCAGGTGCCAGGCAGCTTCACCCGAAGTAACGGCGAGCTCCTCCCGCAGGTCACCGGTGACCTCTTCGACATTATGTCCGGGCAGACAGATGTGGATCACCCGCTGTGCGAGGAGTGCACGGACACTCTGCTGGACCAGCTGGACACGCAGCTCAACATCACAGAGAACGAGTGCCAGAACTACAAGTGAGTGAGCCGGGGTGACCCCAGGCCGAGCTGCTTTAGCCTGAAACCCGGGGAAGGAGAACGGCCATGATCCGGCTTGCTGTGCTCCGTAAGAGACATCCCTGACTTCAGCACTTGGGGCGTTCTTTGAGAAGAAAAACTAGTTTTTGGGAGGCCTGTGGTAGCCATCGGCTCCCGCTGCGGTCTGCGAGCCCACCTGGCACTGCCCACGCGGCAGCGTTCCCGTACGACCTAGGGCCCTGCAGGCAGCAGCTGACAGGCGGTGACATCCTCGGCCGCCATCTCGCTGCCCTGCTCTGCTCTGTGCGCTCCTGCCTCCCGGTGCAGGGTCAGTGCGGAGAGCTCGGGATTAATGGGGGCGCCCGTGAGGTCGGGGTCCCTGTTTGCACTTCTGCTCACGTGCGCAGGCTGTTGGGGAACCGGGGACTGGTGTTGGGGGCTCCCCAGAGTCCCTGGCTTGGTAACCGTGTCGCTCTCCCTTAGGAGATGTCTGGAGATCCTGGAACAAATGAACGAGGATGATAAGGAGAAACTGCAAACAGAACTGAAGGAGCTTGCACTGGAGGAAGAGCAGCTGATTCAGGAGTTGGAGGATGTTGAGAAGAACCGCAGAGTTGTGGCTGAAGACTTCGAGAGAGTCAGGGCGGAGGCAGAGCGGCTGGAGCAGGAAGAAGCTCAGTGAGTGAACTATAACTGCAGTTTATGGCAGGGATTTTAGGTAACAGATGAATGAGGTTATAACACGGAGAAACCTGTAAAGAACGCCCAAATGCACCCAGTGCACACTGCGAGCAATCGCTTCTCTGTAAAAGCTTGTGCTTTAGCGTTTCTTGTCTTGCTTTTGTTAAAAGGTATCAGAAAGAATACTGTGAATTCAAGAGGCAACAGCTGGAGCTAGACGATGAGCTGAAGAGCGTGGACAACCAAATGCGCTACGCCCAGATGCAGCTGGATAAACTGAAGAAAACCAACGTGTTCAACGCCACCTTTCACATCTGGTAACGCGGGCGCTGGAACACCGCGAGCTGGCAGCGCGGGGCCGCTTAAGTGGCGCCGCATTCGGCAGGGAAGGTGCTGGTCAGGTCACAGCTGCCCGCGGCAAAGCAACCGCTCGCGGCTCCCAGCAGTGTCAGCCAAGAGGTTTGTGGCACTGCTCAGATGTCCGACTGAAACGGCTC